AATTTGGTAATAATATATACCATAAAATAACTAAAGAGAGAGGGGGCTATCCTGAATGTAGGATACCTGGTGCTAGTTAATTGTACTAATCTTGGATTCCTTTACGGGATAGAAGTAAGTTGTGGTATTATCCAATGTTGTCATTTTAATCTCATTTTTATGATGACTTAATAAACAATGTTGGTGTTTTGTTTTTGAAAGCATGTATCACATTGTGATTCATGTGTTCAGAAAGGGAGTAGTACTGATGGTATGATGATTTATTGGTACATTTGCATATTGTATTAAGAATATGAGCAGTAGTAAGTAATGTGTTATGGGTTAGATTAAATGTTTTAGGGGGAAATGTATTTGTGGTATAAGGCAGAATTTAGAGGAGGCCTTTCTATGACATGAGTGGACTATAACAAGCTGCAAGCATGTGCACTTCCTAATCTAAAAGGCTTATCAGGACTGATAAGAAGAAAGGATGAAGTAGCATGCTGTGTCTCAACTAACAATGTTATGCAGACTTTCTTTCGAAAAAGGTGAAGGCAACTCTGCCAACATGAAAGGAGAATCTGGACATTTTCTGCGATTTGGAGACTATGTGGTGGTAAAGGATTAAAGAAGTCAGAGATGGACAAAACCCAAGTGGGAAGGTTAGTAATAGGTGTTGATGGCTACCTTGATGGAGGGGCAAGTAAGAGAGAGAGATTCCTAGATCTATATGTACCATTGTAGGACTTTTCTAACGCAGAGGAGGAAGATGGTACTGCTTCGGCTGGGAATTGTTTTGTTTTATTTGTGTGTTTTTGCAGCAGGGACTATTGGTACGCTGATAGAAGGACACACTCCACAGAGAGATGGTGATAAATGGAGAAGGACTCTGTATGATCATAGAACTAGTGAAGGAAGAAGGTTCATGCATCATCACACAGTCTACACCAACAGAGGTATGGATAGAGGGGAGATTGACCAGCTATCATGTCAACCACTGCAACAGATTGCTACGAGGAAACTGACGATCTAGACATGAGGGAGAGGAGGATGCTGTTGATGACAATTATCAGGTGATGGAAGACAATGTAAGAGGAATGATACTGATGAGCTGTGGGTTATGGCTGATTACCTCAGTGGAGGCACAGAGCTATAGACCTCCAAGAATTTCAAGATCTTCCAGATTTTTCAGGAATCAACTGGCTGTCATTCCATTCGGTTATATTTATTTAAAGGGTTTATCTAATAGAAATTGGGAAGTATATTAGAAATTGGTATTAAGAATAATTGTTAACACATAATAATTTGTCATATGGTGAATGTTTATATGGATTTATTGGTTTAGAAATGAAGTCAATTAAACTGTTTGTCTTCTAGTGAGATAAATACAGATGCTGTCTTGATGCATAGTAGGGATAATTTGGCCTAGCATGGTGTGAACCTAAATAAATAAAAGTAACAAACTATGAACCGGCTGAAGATGAATATCAGAGGCGTTGAAGACGTTTTTGTAAAATACCACTTCTACATGCAACTGGTCTACAATAACCCATCGAAGCTATCAAAGGATTTTCTCATGTTATTATCTCGAAGGAGTGGGAAAGGAGTCCACCATTGAGTGAGAATGGAGAAAGATATGTTTAAATGCAACATTTTAATGATGTGGGCATAAGGGTTGGCAAATGGAAAAGACAATGAGGTTGTGGAGTTGGTGGTGACTCAAATGAGACATTGTAGTTGTGACATTGTCATGGGCAAGTCATTTTGGAAATGTGAAGATGTCTGAAGAATGTAAGGAAGAGACGCAAGAAGATTTAAATGCGGGGGGAGAAAAAGGGGTTGCTTAGCTGTGTTGATAATAAAATTAGGTTTATCCACATTTGATAATTTGGGTAGTAGGTACACACACTGCTAAATTAAAAGAATTGAGAATGCATTGAGATAATGATCTGTATTTATTATCAGGATGAGGAAAGTCATAATTGAATTATGGATGTTTATAATATATGTTAATATAAGTGTACATTCTGACAGTTGTAATGGGTGATAAAGTTGAGGGTTTTAAGTTTCATTGATAAGGATAAAGTGAATCAATAAGGATTGTCATTTTTAAATTTGGTTGAGTGAAGTAATTTGGGTTTGGTTATATTTTATAAGATGAATGAGTGATTTAAGTGAATCATTAGTATGTATTAGTATAATTATTTTCAGAATGAAGGATAGTGATTGTACAATTGAGAAATGTTTTATATAGATATTAGGGGTTAAAACAGTGATGCATTATGGTAATGTCTTAGGATACACTTATATGATTTATTTTGAGTAGACATTGTTGAATCATACTGTTTCAAACATGGACAGATGACTATCTCAGTAGATCAGATAGAGCCCGTTGTGACCAGTGAAAAGCTTAGGGTTCATCTGATGGGGCATGGATGATGAAGACGGACGTTTATGTTATTTTTATATTCATGTGTTCAGATTATAATATCCATGTAATGGTTATGTATAATTGTTGTGGGGATGATGTCATGATGGTCACAATTTAGTTGATGTATGTTTTCTTGGTTGCATGGCTCAGAAAAAGGGGTCATTTTAAAATGGGGGATGTCTATGTGGGATTTTTCCTTATATATAAAAATAAGGTTTTGACTACATAGATTATTAGCATGAATATATAGTAGTTAATTATGTGTTTATCTTTTACTCAGACTGAGTTTATAGAGGTTTGAGAGGTTTGATATCGCATAAGATAGATGACTGAGAATGTATACCTTTGTTGATTAAATATATTGAGAATCAGGTTGGATTCAGGTATAAAAGGTGGAAAGGGGTGATTTCTCAGTTATCTAGCATAGTTTAGGATCTAGTCAGAGATATATATTGCTGATGCCCCATGGTGGCGGTGGGTTTATGGTATTGGCAGGCATAAGCTACGGACAACAAACACAATTGCATTTTATCAGTTGGCAATTTGAATACACAAAAATACCGTAACGGGATCCTGAGGCCCATTGTGAGGCCCATTTTTTTATAAGGTATCTGTTACGAACAGATGCATATCTGTATTCCCATTCATGTGAAATCCATAGATTAGGGCCTATGAATTTATTTCAATTGACTGATTTCCTCAAATGAATTGTAACTCTTTGAAATTGTTGCATGTTGCGTTTATATTTTTGTTAATCTTGTTTTATGTTCTGAATCTAGAAAAACATGGCAAAATGCTAGCGTATAATTTTTTTTGGGGGGGGAGGTTTGTATTAAATACTTTAAAAATCTAATGTTAGAATGAAACAATCAAGGCCTTTAAACACTTGGACAATAAATATAACAATTAAATGTGTTTTATGGTATCTGATTGAGTTGACAAATCCAGTTAAGTGCATTTCATAAATTGTTTGAATAAGGTTGTTCCTTTACATCATATGATAGCTCGTACTTTTGTCTACAAACATATTTTAAATGTTAAATATTAAGAAATAATTGTTGGGATTGTCCCATCTTTCAATAATCCCTGATAAGCAAGACCTCCCAAAGCCAGAAGAGTTTATCATCACTCACAAAAAAAGTCAGGAGTTGGTTTGTGGAGCTCAAAGATTTTATTGAAAAGTTAAACCATACACAAAGGGACCTCCCAGGTTTCCTGTGATCGCTGTCTCAGCCAGCCCAGTGACCAGATGAAGCCCCTGGGAGAGCCTACACACACAGCCAGACAGTTTGGCATTACTGTGAACCTAAAACCCCTCCCTTAGTCATCATCAGCAAAGTAGAAAACAAAAGCAAGCCTGGCAGGTCAGCAAGAATTACAGGTATCCCCTGAACTTAGACTTTCTTACAGTTTCAAGCCACCCAAAAACTGTTCTGATTAAGCGAGGTCTTCATGTACAGCTACATCTCAAACCCTGATGGCCAACTAACGCTGAGCATAACGGTACAACATGGCGTTAAGCTTGTCCTTGTGGAAAGAAAACAAGGTATACGACAGTAATTAAATAACAGTGGGAGAAACCTAGTGTACTGAAGAACGCGGTTGCAAATGCAAATGAGAAATGTCTTCAGACCACAGAATATCAAATGATTGGTTAGAAGTGGTCAAATCAGAAAGAATGTATGACCAAAAGCACCCACCGCGTTTAACCAATCAACTGATGTCTCACCAAATAAAAACAATACTTCAGGGATAAACATAGGAGCTACAGGTGACCAACTGTACTGAGTAAAGGATCTGAATACGTATGTCAATGTGATAGTTTCCCATTTTTAATAAATTTGCAGAAATAAATAAACTGTTTTTGCTTTGTCATTATGGGGTATTGTTTTAGAATCTGTTAAGAGATAGATGGCTGGTGTTGAACAGAGTTGAAGGATGGGACTAATAACAAGATAACTAATAATGTAAGCATACTGTGTCCATAATAAGTATATAGGTTGTAGGTTGGGAGTTTTTGTGAAAGAGCAGTTAGAAAGATATGGCATATAGAAGCAAACCGAATGGACATCATGAAAATGATCGGAGAGGTTGAGAGTAGAAGTAGTTCAGGAGAAAAAAAACTAAATATAATTATTGTAAAATTGACTGTGTCCATAAAATGTATATAGTAAGTATAAGCTGGAAGTAGAGGCCTAAGCATTGTTGTTCACTAGTTTACTCCAATTAGGGAAAGGGTGGTGGGGTTGGAAAGCAATAAAGGGGAATATATTTATTAAAAGAGATATATATATATATATATAAACATGGGGGATTGGAAGTGATGCAGACAATTACATTGATGGAAGTTACAATCTGCAATATTAAGCTGATCTACCCCCTCAAAAAAAGAAAAAAAGAATGTATGACCAAAAGCACCCACCGCATATAATCAATCAACTGATGTCTCACCAAATAACAACAATACTTCAGGGATAAACATAGGAGCTACAGGTGACCAACTGTACTGAGTAAAGGGTCTGAATACGTATGTAAATGTGATAGTTTCCAATTTTTAATAAATGTGCAGAAAAAAAACAACTGTATTTGCTTTGTCATTATGGGGTATTGTGTGTAGATTGATGAGGGGGACGACGATAATTGAATCATTTTAGAATAAGGCTGTAACTTAACATTTGGAAAAAGTCAAGGGGTCTGAATACTTTACGAATGCACTGCAAGTTAAGTTTCTGGTCACATTGGGAGGAGAATGGTGTGGTGCATTTCATTGTCATGGCAGTGTTGGATAGATACAATGAGAAGGTGTATAAATTACTGACCCACTGCAAGTGTCTTTTAATGGAAACAACTACAAAGCAAACATGTACACCAAAGAATGACGGAAGTAGCTACCGTCGTAAAACGGTAACTAAAAAAAGTGTTTCTTTCTCTTGTTCTTGTAGCCTCTGAACACACCCCTTCAATGATATATCCCCATGCTGGTTTCAGTTGGAAATTCATTAAGGCCAGATTCTGCTGATATTCTCGTCCCCGACGCCGTGAGGAGAGTTTAGGCCTCCAGTTCCAACCCCAGGCCCAGCTTGTGGCCTCCAGCGTTGATGCTCTTTCCGTCCACCAGGGCAGAGAGGGTGAGTTTCACACCTGCAACAGGGGAGAGAGAAAACGTCAGGGTCGCATTCAGGATGAGGGTAAAAAAGGAACTGAGAAAAATTGGATGTCAACTAGAGATGGAAATGAAGCAAGCCCACTAGCCTGAGGCTAGTACTGTTGAGAAGGGTGCCATACTAGCCTGCCAGGGCAGTGAAATCCTTACGTTCTATCCCTGGTGTCAACATTCTCATCATTGCAGATAGAAATCTCTCTTATAGAGCTGACAATGATTTCCTTTTTCAAATGAAAGAGAAACTAGTCTGCTCTACATAACGGACTTCTATCTGAGCCTTCTGTAGCACTGCAGGAGTGCATCTATAACAAGAACAGTACTCCGAGACGCATTGAGAGCAAAATGAATAGGATGTTGCATTAGTGGGGACTCACACTTGCAGAGATAATCAAGTGGAGATCGCCCTACAAACAGCATGCATGATGGCAGTCGCTGAAATTTACATAAACTTGGGAATGTCTGGTCGCTAGCTCTTTATTGACCGACCGTCGCGTTGAGTCTCCTTTCATTTAAAATTACTGGTAGCTGATCATACCGCCACATGTGAGTCCCCAGTAAAGCATCATCTTCAAATCGATTTTGGTGCAGTGTTTTTTTTTTTTTACACACTGTGTAAGAGTCACGTTGAGCACTTTGGTTCAGGAAGAGAAGAGGATGTTGCATTATGAAGTGTGGGTTGCTCATAGAGAAGCAGTGGGCTACAGACAAGAGTGGTACGCCACACAAATCTAACATTACAACTTGAGGGAACTTGTAGTAACAGCAGTAAGGGAACAATTATATCTATTGTAAAACGAGAGGTCTTACCTGGTCTCAGCGTCTGAGTGTAACCAAGACCGACCAGGCTGATGTTGTTCACTTTAGCCTGGAAAGACAGAATGATTAACTTACATTCCAAAAAGGCAGAGGAAAGTTCCTAACAACAGCAGTCTTCTAAACTAGAGTGTGCAACTCTGATCCTGGAGCGCCAGACAATGTAGTGAGTGGTAGACAGCCCTAGTAAGCACAGTTGAAGTCAGAAGTTTACATACACCTTAGCCAAATACATTTAGTTTTTCACAATTCCTGACATTTAAACCTAGTAAGAATTACCTGTCTTAGGTCAGTTATGATCACCACTTTATTTTAAGAATGTGAAATGTCAGAATAATAGTAGAGAGTGATTTATTTCGGCTTTTATTTATTTCATCACAATCCCAGTGGGTCAGAAGTTTACATACACTCAATTAGTATTCGGTAGCATTGCCTTTAAATTGTTTAACTTGGGTCAAACATTTCGGGTAGCCTTCCACAAGCTTCCCACAATAAGTTGGGTGAATATTGGCCAATTCCTCCTGACAGAGCTGGTGTAACTGAGTCAGGTTTGTAGGCCTCCTTGCTCGCACACGCTTTTTCAGTTCTGCCCACAAATGTTCTATAGGATTGAGGTCAGGGCTTTGTGATGGCCACTCCAATACCTTGACTTTGTTGTCCTTAAGCCATTTTGCCACAACTTTGGAAGTATGCTTGGGGTCATTGTCCATTTGGAAGACCCATTTGCGACCAAGCTTTAACTTCCTGACTGATGTCTTGAGATGTTGCTTCAATATATCCACATAATTTTCCTTCCTCATGATGCCATCTATTTTGTGAAGTGCACCAGTCCCTCCTGTAGTAAAACACCCCAACAGCATGATGCTGCCACCCCTGTGCTTCACGGTTGGGATGGTGTTCTTTGGCTTGCAAGCGCCCCCTTTTTCCTCCAAACATAACGATGGTCATTATGGCCAAACAGTTCTATTTTAGTTTCATCAGGCCAGAGGACATTTCTCCAAAAAGTACGATCTTTGTCCCCATGTGCAGTTGCAAACTGTAGTCTGGGTTTTTTATGGCGGTTTTGGAGCAGTGACTTCTTCCTTGCTGAGCAGCCTTTCAGGTTATGTCGATATAGGACTTGTTTTACTGTGGATATAGATACTTTTGTACCTGTTTCCTCCAGCATCTTCACAAGGTCCTTTGCTGTTGTTCTGGGATTGATTTGCACTTTTCGCACCAAAGTAGGTTCATTTCTAGGAGACAGAACACGTCTCCTTCCTGAGCGGTATGACGGCTGCGTGGTCCCATGGCGTTTATACTTGCGTACTATTGTTTGTACAGATGAACGTGGTACCTTCAGGTGTGTGTGGAGTGGTTGAAAAATGGGTTTTAATGACTCCAACCTAAGTGTATGTAAACTTCAGACTTCAACTGTATGTAGTGAGTGGTAGACAGCCCTAGTAAGTACGTAGCGAGTGGTAGACAGCCCTAGTAAGTACGTAGCGAGTGGTAGACAGCCCTAGTAGGTACGTAGCGAGTGGTAGACAGCCCTAGTAACTACGTAGCGAGTGGTAGACAGCCCTAGTAACTATGTAGCGAGTGGTAGACAGCCCTAGCAAGTACGTAGCGAGTGGTAGACAGCCCTAGTAAGTACGTAGCGAGTGGTAGACAGCCCTAGTAACTACGTAGCGAGTGGAAGACAGCCCTAGTTACTACGTAGCGAGTGGTAGACAGCCCTAGTAATACGTAGCGAGTGGTAGACAGCCCTAGTAACTACGTAGCGAGTGGTAGACAGCCCTAGTAACTACGTAGCGAGTGGTAGACAGCCCTAGTAACTACGTAGCGAGTGGTAGACAGCCCTAGTAACTACGTAGCGAGTGGTAGACAGCCCTAGTAACTACGTAGCGAGTGGTAGACAGCCCTAGTAAGTACGTAGCGAGTGGTAGACAGCCCTAGTAGGTACGTAGCGAGTGGTAGACAGCCCTAGTAACTACGTAGCGAGTGGTAGACAGCCCTAGTAACTACGTAGCGAGTGGTAGACAGCCCTAGTAACTACGTAGCGAGTGGTAGACAGCCCTAGTAACTACGTAGCGAGTGGTAGACAGCCCTAGTAAGTACGTAGCGAGTGGTAGACAGCCCTAGTAACTACGTAGCGAGTGGAAGACAGCCCTAGTAACTACGTAGCGAGTGGTAGACAGCCCTAGTAACTACGTAGCGAGTGGTAGACAGCCCTAGTAAGTACGTAGCGAGTGGTAGACAGCCCTAGTAACTACATAGCGAGTGGAAGACAGCCCTAGTTACTACGTAGCGAGTGGTAGACAGCCCTAGTAACTACGTAGCGAGTGGTAGACAGCCCTAGTAAGTACGTAGCGAGTGGTAGACAGCCCTAGTAAGTACGTAGCGAGTGGTAGACAGCCCTAGTAGGTACGTAGCGAGTGGTAGACAGCCCTAGTAACTACGTAGCGAGTGGTAGACAGCCCTAGTAGGTACGTAGCGAGTGGTAGACAGCCCTAGTAACTACGTAGCGAGTGGTAGACAGCCCTAGTAACTACGTAGCGAGTGGTAGACAGCCCTAGTAACTACGTAGCGAGTGGTAGACAGCCCTAGTAAGTACGTAGCGAGTGGTAGACAGCCCTAGTAACTACGTAGCGAGTGGAAGACAGCCCTAGTTACTACGTAGCGAGTGGTAGACAGCCCTAGTAACTACGTAGCGAGTGGTAGACAGCCCTAGTAACTACGTAGCGAGTGGTAGACAGCCCTAGTAACTACGTAGCGAGTGGTAGACAGCCCTAGTAACTACGTAGCGAGTGGTAGACAGCCCTAGTAAGTACGTAGCGAGTGGTAGACAGCCCTAGTAACTACGTAGCGAGTGGTAGACAGCCCTAGTAACTACGTAGCGAGTGGTAGACAGCCCTAGTAGGTACGTAGCGAGTGGTAGACAGCCCTAGTAACTATGTAGCGAGTGGTAGACAGCCCTAGTAAGTACGTAGCGAGTGGTAGACAGCCCTAGTAAGTACGTAGCGAGTGGTAGACAGCCCTAGTAACTACGTAGCGAGTGGAAGACAGCCCTAGTTACTACGTAGCGAGTGGTAGACAGCCCTAGTAACTACGTAGCGAGTGGTAGACAGCCCTAGTAACTACGTAGCGAGTGGTAGACAGCCCTAGTAACTACGTAGCGAGTGGTAGACAGCCCTAGTAACTACGTAGCGAGTGGTAGACAGCCCTAGTAACTACGTAGCGAGTGGTAGACAGCCCTAGTAAGTACGTAGCGAGTGGTAGACAGCCCTAGTAAGTACGTAGCGAGTGGTAGACAGCCCTAGTAGGTACGTAGCGAGTGGTAGACAGCCCTAGTAACTACGTAGCGAGTGGTAGACAGCCCTAGTAACTACGTAGCGAGTGGTAGACAGCCCTAGTAACTACGTAGCGAGTGGTAGACAGCCCTAGTAAGTACGTAGCGAGTGGTAGACAGCCCTAGTAACTACATAGCGAGTGGAAGACAGCCCTAGTTACTACGTAGCGAGTGGTAGACAGCCCTAGTAACTACGTAGCGAGTGGTAGACAGCCCTAGTAAATACGTAGCGAGTGGTAGACAGCCCTAGTAGGTACGTAGCGAGTGGTAGACAGCCCTAGTAACTACGTAGCGAGTGGTAGACAGCCCTAGTAACTACGTAGCGAGTGGTAGACAGCCCTAGTAACTACGTAGCGAGTGGTAGACAGCCCTAGTAAGTACGTAGCGAGTGGTAGACAGCCCTAGTAACTACGTAGCGAGTGGAAGACAGCCCTAGTTACTACGTAGCGAGTGGTAGACAGCCCTAGTAACTACGTAGCGAGTGGTAGACAGCCCTAGTAACTACGTAGCGAGTGGTAGACAGCCCTAGTAACTACGTAGCGAGTGGTAGACAGCCCTAGTAACTACGTAGCGAGTGGTAGACAGCCCTAGTAACTACGTAGCGAGTGGTAGACAGCCCTAGTAACTACGTAGCGAGTGGTAGACAGCCCTAGTAACTACGTAGCGAGTGGTAGACAGCCCTAGTAACTACGTAGCGAGTGGTAGACAGCCCTAGTAACTACGTAGCGAGTGGTAGACAGCCCTAGTAACTACGTAGCGAGTGGTAGACAGCCCTAGTAACTACGTAGCGAGTGGTAGACAGCCCTAGTAACTACGTAGCGAGTGGTAGACAGCCCTAGTAACTACGTAGCGAGTGGTAGACAGCCCTAGTAACTACGTAGCGAGTGGTAGACAGCCCTAGTAACTACGTAGCGAGTGGTAGACACCCCTAGTAACTACGTAGCGAGTGGTAGACACCCCTAGTAACTACGTAGCGAGTGGTAGACAGCCCTAGTAACTACGTAGCGAGTGGTAGACAGCCCTAGTAACTACGTAGCGAGTGGTAGACAGCCCTAGTAACTACGTAGTGAGTGGTAGACAGCCCTAGTAACTACGTAGTGAGTGGTAGACAGCCCTAGTAACTACGTAGTGAGTGGTAGACAGCCCTAGTAACTACGTAGTGAGTGGTAGACAGCCCTAGTAACTACGTAGTGAGTGGTAGACAGCCCTAGTAACTACGTAGTGAGTGGTAGACAGCCCTATTAAGTACTTGAGCGTTTCTTGCATGTGTTCTTAGGACACAGTAAGACAACCACAAAGGGACGGTTTCCTGGACACATTTAAAAAAGTGAATTCAATGGAAAATCTCCATTGACAATGCTTTTTAGTCCTAGGCTAAAGCTCTGTCTGGGAAACTGCACAGTACTTACACTGATGGAGGCGCTCTTGTCCAGCTGGTATTTGGCTGCGATGCCGAAGCTTGTGCTGTTGCTGCCGGCAGTCCAGGCAAGGTTGACCGCTGTCTCCAGCGCCGGGCTCACCTTCTGGTAGATGGAGCCACCGAATTGTACACCGTCATTTCTGTAACAACAACCAGGGAAAAGATTAGGGAGAGAAGGAGTGATATGAAAATATTTGTCTGTAGTCCAGTTCGAAATCAAGTCCTAGCCTTTACCCTGCTATGCAGTTTGTAGGGCCTGACGTTTTGAACCCTGTTTAGGTGCTTTGGTTAAATCATTAGATATTCAATGATTACTACAATTTCCAGGTTGACTACAGCTGTCCAGTCATCTATGTACATTGTTTTTGCGTGTGGGTGTGCATATTTTTTTTAAACAATTGAATAGACAATGTTTGCCCTTGAAGGTAATTGTTCTTGTATGCACATAGCAGAGGACTGGAAATTCATACACTTGTATACTCTCACTTACACGTTGGTGTGTAGCTGGAAGTCCCCGGTCTTGTATCCCACAGCGAAGTTGTTCTGGGTCATCTTAGACTTGGCCGTGTCAAAGGTCATCTCGTAGCCGGCGAGCCAGCCCTCGTAACCCACGACGGCCGCTCCATGGATAGCGGGGCCAGCGAAGTCAAAGTCGACGTCACAGCCCAAGTTGACAAACTCGCGCTTGTAGGCGGTCTTGACTTTGCCGCTCTTCTTGCTGTCGTTGGAGCGGAAAACATATTTGGTTAGCCTTAGCCTACATTCTGAACTGAAATATTTGTATTGAGCAGCCAAACAGCTCAGGCCTAATATAACCAGTCTGATGGAAATGTAGCAACCTTAACAGAATATGAAAACAACTGGGAAAACCAAGAGCTGGAAAACCTCACTCCAGTAGTACTTCACCCATACACTCTCTTATGTTCATAATCAAGAGTCCACAAGCAATACCAATCCTGAGAAATGTCTTTCTGGATCGTCATTACACACTAGCCAACGAGGCTTACAGTAAGTGCACACACACAACTCCATTCACTCACAGCATTAGCAACTAGGGATTACAATAATAATACTTTATGAGCCCCTTAAAATGCTAATGTTACATGACACTAAACCCAGTTCTAAACTGTTAGCCTAGGCAGTGTGACTAACTGAGAAGCTGTAGCATTCAGTGGAGTGAAGTTGCCCTTAGATGCTGATCTTGGGTCAGTTTTGCATTCCCCCCCTCCACTAACGGTTAAAGTTAAGATTCGGGGAGGGGAAACTGATCCTAGATCTGTACCTAGGGGAAACTCCTCCCCTGGAGCTCAGTGGACATGCAGCGACAGCGTGACGACCACCCCCTCCTCCCCAACATGTAAGAGGAGACTCCTCCACTGGCCCACCATGTGTCACTACTAGGCATGTGCCATATTCCATCCCACAGGATTTACACTTCCAGGAAAGCCAATACTATGTGGACTGGCTGGGGAGGCACTACTGAATAGGATTTGGTCACACCAACATTAAATGTCCTAAAAAAACATTGTTGCATACTACCCAACGATGTCTATATAGGCCTATGCAATGACCGCAAATTGCAGATGCGTGCATCCGGTGCTCCGTATACATCAGCACTATACCAGTTACTTTGGTTAAAAAATGCTAAAACAGTCAATATTGAGAGTTGAGAAATAAAATGTAATACCTACAGAAAGCTGAGACCCCTTTCTCTTCAACAGACTATTTTGTTCCTCCCTCTAACCTACTCTGAGCGTGCAGAGAAAAACAGCCACAGGGGCTGGGCAGGGCAGAGACTTTCATGGAGGAATCCGGATTTTGGGATTTTATTAGGATCCCCATTAACAGACGCCAATGGCGACAGCTCATCTTACTGGGGTCCGACACAACGAAAAAGACATTACAGACAAAATACTTTACAATTTACATACATTAACATATATTAATGCACATTAGGCTACTGCTTGACCAAATCAAGATTTTAGTTGCCCCAAAAATAAAAACATCTGATTAAAATGGTCAAAGTCTGGAGGCCAACTAGGAGAATAAACACCTCCATTCAAATATACAAGCAAAAAAACAACAGTAACACAATCCATGGCTTGGATGTGGATAATAATAAATACTACACAGATGAGTGCCTTGTCAGGCTAAAGTTAATTTGCCTGACCCGTCACATCAGATCCACCCACGAGCCTGTGAGGAATGCACACCTCAGATCATGTTACCTTCATGCAAGGACACTACGTGCTGGACTGACTCTTCTGGTCTAGCTATATGTTAATACCATCGGCACCCATATGTCCGAACACATGAAACACTGTTTTAAGTACTAGAAGTACATTTTTACATTTTAGTAATTTAGCAGACGCTTTTATCCAGAGCAACTTACAGTAGTGAGTGCATACATTTTTCGAACTGGTCCTCTGCATTGAAATTGTAATTTTACCCAGTGTTTGGTGAGAAGGTTGTGTCGAATGTCAGCTTCAGACCCTTGACAATCTAAAGGAAACAAGAACAAAGAATCAGACTGGTAACACAAGGTTGATCTACCTGCATTTTATGTGATCACTACATATTGAATATTCATTATTTGTTAGAATCCTCTTTCTTTTCAATTGTGTGTCAAGGCTATTGTGAGAAACTCCATACACAACACCGATTGTGTTACAAAAAGCATTTAAAATAAAATCTTTGTTGAATCCAAACCTGGTCTTCGACGGTGATCTCTGTTCCCAGGGTGTTGTCAATGTTCCACTTCTCTGTGAAGGTCAGGCCGTACTCTGACCTCTTGTATTTGGTTTCCAAGCTGCCCGCCACCTTGCTGGTGTCCGTGTTGGTGGAGCCAGCTGTTTTGAACTCCTGCAGAACATTTGTAAAAGGGTTCACATCAGGATATGAATAAAAACAAATGTTGTAAAAAATATCTGAATGCAATTGGGTTTTTATCATAAAGACCATAAACACACACACCCACATATATGTGGGTGTGTGTGTAGAGATATATATATATATATATATATCTACACACACACACCTACACATATATATATATATATATATATATACACACACACACACACATACATATATACACCTTAGCCAAATACATTTAAACTCAGTTTTTCACAATTCCTGACATTTAATCATAGTAACAATTCCCTGTCTTAGGTCAGTTAGGATCACCACTTTATTTTAAGAATGTGAAATGTCAGAATAATAGTAGAGAGAATGATTTATTTCAGCTTTTATTTATTTTATCACATTCCCAGTGGGTCACAGGTTTACATACATAAAAAGAGGAGTGGGAGGCCCCGGTGCACAACTGAGCAAGAAGACAAATACATTAGTGTCTAGTTTGAGAAACAGGCGCCTCACACGTCCTCAACTGGCAGCTGCATTAAATAGTACCCACAAAACACCAGTCTCAATGTCAACAGTGAAGAGGCGACTCCGGGATGCTGACCTTCTAGGCAGAGTTGCAAAGAAAAAGCCATATCTCAGACTGCCCATCTTAATCTTTTCTTTTTATTGGCCAATCTGAGATATGGCTTTTTCTTTGCAACTCTGCCTAGAAGGTCAGCATCCCGGAGTCGCCTCTTCACTGTTGACATTGAGACTGGTGTTTTGCGGCTACTATTTAATGAAGCTGCCAGTTGAGGACCTGTGAGGCGTCTGTTTCTCAAACTAGACACTAATGTATTTGTCTTCTTGCTCAGTTGTGCACCGGGGCCTCCCACTCCTCTTTCTATTCTGGTTAGAGCCAGTTTGCGCTGTTCTGTGAAGGGAGTAGTACACAGTGTTGTAACGAGATCTTCAGTTTCTTGGCAATTTCTCACATGGAATAGCCTTCATTTCTCAGAACAAGAATAGACTGACGAGTTTCAGAAGAAAATTATTTGTTTCTGGCCATTTTGAGCCTGTAATCAAACCCACAATTGCTGATGCTCCAGATACTCAACTAGTCTCAAGAAGGCCAGTTTTATTGCTTCTATAATCAGCACAACAGTTTTCAGCTGTTCTAACATAATTGCAAAAGGGTTTTCTATTAGCCTTTTAAAATGATAAACTTGGATTAGCAAACACAACGTTCCATTGGAACACAGGACTGATGGTTGCTGATAATGGGTCTCTGTACGCCTATGTAGATATTCCATTTTTTAAAAATCAGCCGTTTCCAGCTACAATAGCCATTTATAACATTAACAATGTCTACACTGTATTTCTGATCAATTTAATGTTATTTTAATGGACAAAAAAAATTGCTTTTCTTTTGAAAACAAGGACATTTCTAAGAGAGCTCAAACTTTTGAATGGTAGTAAGTGTGTGTGTGTGTATATATATATATATATATATATTAGAGTAGAGATAATTCTACATTCATTTTGAAAGTGCACACATGATTAGAAAGAAAATAAGTCAACTTACCACTCCGCTGCTGGACTTGGTCTTCACATCAAGCTTCACCAGGCCGAACCCTTCAGGGAGAAAGCAAAGTTAGTCAACCACTGATGCATATTTCACAAATGGGAAATAGTCATGAATGTAATCATTGTCAGCAGATAATGTAATCCTTCATACACTAACATCTTACAGGATGACATGCAAAGCCGAGATAAAATATATATATATATATTTTATGTATCTATCTATCTCTCTATAGATAGAGCGCTCTCCCATCCTGCCTATTGGTTTCGCATCCCTCAAACAAACTCACCCTATTGGTTATTCCTGTTCTCACACAAGGTTTTTAATTAAAACCACCTTAAGTATATTTGTTTCAGAGTGAAATGTACAGTACCATAGCCCTTGTTGAAGATGTCCTTGGCGGATTTGCCGAGGTCACCATATGATGGAGGCACAGCCATTACACCTGCAGCAGGGAGAAAAGATGCATACATTCCCCAATAGTCAGAGTTCATTTTGATTTACATAACGCCTGCTTTGGAAACCAATTTCTTTTGAATCTATGAACAGGGCCGGCTCCAGGAATAAGCGGTAACTTAGGGCCCAGGACCCTAGCGGCCCCCCAACCCACTCAAAAAGTGTTATTTGTATTGTTTTTAAAGGTACTCAGGTCGGGGTCTCAACTTACTGTTTAGAGTTTGAATAGTAGAATACACAAGGCTAAAGTTCAAAATGTGGTTGTGCATCAGAAATGTCTCTCTTGTTCTGTCAGTCACTCAATTAGCCATGTCAGCTAACAATTTTGAGATTGGTAAATTAGTCTAGCCAGGTATCATTGCAGAATACTGACCGGTTACGCAGGGCACGTGCCCAGGGGCCCTGACCTCTAGGGGACTACCATTGATTTGTTAGTCACTCTCACTCTGATATCATTAACATGGCATAAGTCAAGGCAAGATGTATATTGCAGGAAATTCACTTTAAATGTACATTTCTCTCCACTGTCAAAAGGAGGGCCACTAAAATGCTTGAGATGGCCCTGTCTATGAACATAACTACTCATCCAACACAGCTAGTCATCCTTTGGGCTAAAAGTTTATTTCCCCACTATATTAACAGGGCTCTCCAACCCCAGTCGTAACTAACCTGATTCAGCTTATCAACCAGCTAATTATTAGAATCAGGTGCTCTAGATTAAGGTTGGAGCAAAAACCTACTGGGTGGTAGCTCTCCAGGAACAAGGTTGGAGAGCCCTGCACTATACAATAAAAAGTGTGGTTGCCTGTCTATAGCATCCAACTCTATCAGCCCAGAGCAAGGTTTCCTTGCAGATGTTGATAATCTGAGTGAGTATGATAAGTGGCCTGTCTGGTTCTGGATAGCTCTGCATGGCTAATTTATCTGAACTGACGCTAGGCTACACCTCAGTGACTCACTCAGTTAAGGCCAGGCGGAGGAATGTAGGTCTGGGAAGCGCTCCACTCAATTAAATTCAAATGTTCTTTATTGGCATGACGTTTTGATACATATGTCCACTCTCCAGCCAATTACTGGCCCCTACCCGGTCTGTCCCATTAAATCAATCACTGGGTATGGTGCAATTCAGAGACTCCATTAACGTTACTAGCTAGCTATTCTCCTAGAGCAGCTCCAAGTAACAACAAAGTAATCCGGCTGAACTCCATTTAACACACATGTGCAGTGGACATGAGTTGTCCTTTCTCGTGTAAGGTTACAGGTCCAGCAGCAAAGCTAATTAGTTAGATAGCTAATGCTAACCGGTTAGCTAGCTAAGCACATTTAGCAATTGCGTGTCAGGCAGTCCTCGAGCAAGCGTGGTCATAAACCACGGCAAATATGTAGTTTAGTTCCTCTACAATAAAAGCCAGTTTAGTTGCTTTACTTACCAGTAAAAGACGGGGCTAGCTGTAAACTTCACCGGTTGGAGGGCGAACTGAAGGAGACTGCAATGTAATGAAATCCAGCCTTTCACCCGAAGGACCCCTACCTATCACGTGTTTGCCTGTGTAAAATATACTTGCAGATTCATTACATTTACATTTACATTTTAGTCATTTAGCAGACGCTCTTAACCAGAGCGACTTACAGGAGCATTACAAAATCAACAACGGTAAAAAGGCTTTTTTGGGCTGTAACTAGATTTTTTCTGTCAATACCAAAACCATTCTTACGCACTTTGTTTTCTTATGCATAGAAATATGTATTTATCATATATATATCAATTTCTGGGTGTAACTTCTCATGGACAACTTTGTTTGATCCCGTGGAGTACAATTCAAGTTTGAAGAATAGAAGTTGCTCCAACTACTGATAGGATCAGACGTTTTATCCCCTCACACAAACATTGGTAAAATAATACAACATTTAATTAATTCTCATTGACAGATCAATTTATTACTGAGATTCACATTAAACACATTCACATTGAGATTGATAAAGGATAATGATGCCAAATGTAGAGTGAATATATCAGAAAAACTAGCTGGGTTTCCATCCAGTTGGCGACGGAGTTTCATGCGAATATTCTCAAATCAACATAAATAAAATATGCGCATTTTCCCACCAGAGATGTGTTTTCATAAAATGTACTTGTTGTGGATAAAAGTATGTGCGTGATGACGTAGTGCACATACAAATAGCTTATATGGTTAAATTCCCATGTACTGAATAAAAAATACCAGTTAAATGGGTTTCCATTGCATTTAACTCTGCTGATGGTTTGGCCTATCCACAGGGAGTACTTGAGAAGACTCATGAGACCATAGTCCTACTGATAAAATGCACTTCAAGGGTAGGCCTACTCTGGGCAAAGCAACCGAAAAAAATTGGGAACCACTGGCCCCATATTATTATGGACAAAAGACCTAGATTATTTTAATTTGTCAAACGGCAGCCAAGCATCATGGCACCAGAATAAAACCCTCGATATTTATTGGAAATGAGCATCGAGGCTGCTCATCTCCTTGCACTTTCACCACCCTGTGAAGTTAATAATTTATTTAATCTGTAACCTACTAATAAACTGCATGCTTTCCAGAGTCGTAGTGGGAGGACCACGCAACATGTCGTGACTCAAAGTTTACTTTGATATGATGGTTATTATATCAATATTTGCGCATAAAAGCGTTTCCACCGCCATTTATCGCATAATTCATTTTACCGACAACCCTGGCGTTGCAAGCGCCATGCTCTACCAACTGAGCTACAGGGGACTAGCCGTTATTTACTTTACTTCCATAAAAAGGTTGGATGGAATCCTGGTTATGGTTTGATATTATATTTCCATTCAAATTCAAAATTGCCCTTCAGATAAAGACTCTTTCTGTGGGGCCAGGGTTTTTGCAAGAACTACTCATTCACTGCTGTACTGCTGCCCTCTGCTGGAATATAGTAATTATTACACAAAGATGGATGATGCAGAGGTGTCATGCACCACATTTTCTTAGGGGGCACTGGTGGCCAAATTCAATATATTTGGATAAATCCTGAGTAGAAGAAAATACACTCAGTGGTCCGTTTATTAGGTACACCCATTTAGTACCAGGTTGGACCCCCTTTGCCTCCAGAACAGCCTGAATTCGTCAGGGAATGGATTCTACAAGGAGTCGGAAAACATCCACAGGGATGGTCCATGCTGACGCAATGACATGACGTAGTTGCTGCAGAGTGGAGGGCGGGACATTCATGCTGCAAACAGCCCATTCCATCTAATCCCAAAGATGCTCTATTGGGTTTTGTCAGCAACAATGTCCAGATACACTGTGGCCTTCAAATCGTTGCTCAATTGGTATCAAGGGACCTAACATCAAATCAAATTTTATTTGTCACATGCGCCGAATACAACAGGCATAAACCTTACCATGAAATGCAGTTCAATAAATAGTTATTTAAATATTTACTAAATAAACTAAAGTAAAAAAATCTAAAATAATAATACCACAAGAAAATTACATAACAATAACGAGGCTATATACAGGGGGTACTGGTACAGAGTCAATGTGTGGGGGTACAGGTTAGACGAGGTAATTTGTAAAGTGACTATGCAGAGATAATAAACAGCGAGTAGCGGGGGGGGGGGGGGGGTAGAAGCTGTTAAGGGGCCTTTTGGTCCTAGACTTGGCGCTCCGGTACCGCTTGCCATGCGGTAGCAGAGAGAACAGTCTATGACTTGGGTGACTGGAGTCTTTGACAATTTTTTGGGCCTTCCTCTGACACCGCCTAGTATATACGTCCTGGATGTCAGGAAGCTTGGCCCCAGTGATGTATTGGGCCGTACGCACTACCCTCTGTAGCACCTTGCGGTCAGATGTAGGCCCGCCTGTTAGCTTGCACGATTCTTTCCATTCTCCTTCGACCTCATCAACGAGCTGTTTTTGCCCATAGGACTGCCGCTGACTTGATGTTTTTTGTTTGTCGCACCATTCTCTGTAAACCCTAGACACTGTCGTGCATGAAAAGCCCAGGAAGGCGGCTGTTCTGAGATACTGGATCCGGCATGCCTGGCACCAACAATCATACCACGCTCAATGTCGCTTAGGTCACTCATTTTGCCCATTCTACCGTTCAATCGAACAGTAACTGAATGTCTTGATGCCTGTCTACCTGCTTTGTATAGCAAGCCATGGCCACGTGACACTGTCTGTAGGAGCGATCCATTTTCGTTAACGATGTTGTGTAGCTAAAACAGGCCATTGAGTGTATATCTTAAAAGCATTACTTTTTTTCCTCAGACTAGAACTACATATAATTTAAGGGGCAAATAATTAAATATCTATTAGTGCTTAGGCCTACAGATGTAGTTGTTCCCCATGGTCGTACGTTACAAATAGCCCAGTGTTAGGCGACTTACACTGTTAGATGTCTTACCTATGCACAATGTGTGTGTCAAGGACCAAGGCACGAAAGAGAATTTGACTACTTCCTATTATCTACTTAGACATAAGTCTATTCATGCGTCTGTTGGAGTGTATACAGTGGGGAAAAAAGTATTTAGTCAGCCACCAATTGTGCAAGTTCTCCCACTTAAAAAGATGAGAGAGGCCTGTAATTTTCATCATAGCTACACGTCAACTATGACAGACAAATTGAGAATTTTTTTTCCAGAAAATCACATTGTAGGATTTTTTATGAATTTATTTGCAAATTATGGTGGAAAATAAGTATTTGGTCACCTACAAACAAGCAAGATTTCTGGCTCTCACAGACCTGTAACTTCTTCTTTAAGAGGCTCCTCTGTCCTCCACTCGTTACCTGTATTAATGTTCCAGGATGAACATTTACATTTACATTTACATTTTCGTCATTTAGCAGATGCTCTTATCCAGAGCGACTTACAAATTGGTGCATTCACCTTATGATAGCCAGTGGGATAACCACTACAATATATCTTCATTTTTTTCCTTTCAAATTTTTTCTTTTTTATTGTATTTATTTTTTGGGGGGTTGGGGTAGGGGGAGGGTATAATGATTACTTTTATCCTATCCCAGGTAGTCCTTAAAGAGGTGGGGTTTTAAGTGTCTC